TATTTTGTTGGTAGTTGTAGTCTATTTTGTGCCCTAGACGCTATAAATGATCGTTGTGATCCTTGATCTACTAAGACCCTAAGTTTAAACAGTTCTCCTCGGTGTTCGATGCAGATAACTGCTGTGGGTAGTAGTACTCTACTTTGATTTTCGCTGTGTAGCGTTTGGGTTTTTAATGCCTTTGAGCGGAATGGTGCTTCTGGGCAATTTTCGGAATTTGGCCCCGTGGCTCTTTTCATATTAGCGCTGTTGGGGGGTGAGCTGGAAAATGTCTTGTAATGCAGCATTGCAATTAAATTTGCTTTCGCACTCTTTAAGTGTAAGCACGTGTGACAGACAATTTGTACAAAGGCCTTTTGTTTTTACAAAATTATTTCGGTCAATGATATTAAATTTTTGGAATTTCTCGCAAGATTCGAGCTTCTGCCCTTATGAACAGAGTTCGCATGACGTTTGGTTGTATTGTTCGGATGTGAACGATTGATTTTTAAAAAAGCTTCTATTTAAAGGTGCGGTGCATATGTTTACCAGTATAGGGTCAGCTGTCTGTGTTAATATTCTGTGTCGATAAAACCGACAAACAATTTGAAACAGTGGATTGAAGTTTGATAAATTATTCACTTGTTTCCTCTTGAATTTTTGGCAAGCTCATTAGTATCGATATTTGTTTATCGACCAATATTCTTTCATTTTCGTATCTTGCTTTTAGAGCTTCCCAAGCCAGATTGAAATTATCGTCATTTAGTGCGAACTGTTTGACTATGACGCCTGCTGGACCTTTCGTTTTGTATCGGAGGTGATACAATTTTTGTGCTTGTGATAATTTTGGGTGGTTTATGTAAACGGCTGTAAACATGTCCCGGAAAGACGGCCATTGTTCATAACCACCATGAAAGTTTCTGTATCACATGCGGGCACCTTGAGATGAATGCCCGAATTTGACTCTTGACATTGAATTTGTGGCAGGTTTACTCTCGGTTGTGGAGTAGGTGCAATTGCTTTAATTAATTTTAATTGATCCGAAATCATTGCTTTTGTTGCTTCAAACTGATCTAAACAGTTTTCGTACTTGGCGTAAGTCGAGGATTTAAAATTTTCAGGTAGATCTGAGTCGTCAGATTCTATTATTGCGTCATATGCAGCTTGGATACGTGTACAGAAATTATCAAAATTTTAAATATTATATAATATATGTATATTTTTGTATTATAAATTGGATTGGCCGTTATGTATTTATGTTTAAATTTATCTTGTAAGTTTTCGCTCTTTTTTATACTCTCTCAACTTGTTGCTACAGAGTATAATAGTTTTTTTCACCTAACGGTTGTTTGTATCACCTAAAACTAATCGAGTTAAATATAGAGTTATATATACAAAAATGATCAGGATGAAGAGACGAGTTGAAAAGCTGTAACTTGAGTAAAAATTGAGATATCTTTATGAAACTTGGTACACATGTTTCTTGGTACCGTAAAACGGTTGGTATTGCAGATGGGCGTAATCGGACCACAAAACGCCATTAATCAAAAACAAATAAATTGGCATAACTAAGCTCCGCAATAATATACAAGACCGTTATTTGGTACACAGGATCACATTAAGGAGGGGCTTCTGTAGTTAAATTTTTTATTAACGTGGGCGTGGTCCCGCTCCTAATAGGTTTAATGTGTATATCTCCTAAAATGCTAAAGCTGAAATAACAAAATTCACTGGAAGCCAATGTTTTTAGTACCTCTACCTACAGTGTGAAAATGAGTGAAATCGGGTGACACCACCCCTCTCCCCAAATAACGGCACTGTTAAAAAATACTAAAAGCGCGATAAACCAAGCACTAAACACGCCAGAGACAATAAATTTTATCTCTAGGATGGTATGAGATGACTTTATAGGAATCAAGTTCAAAATTATATAGAGGGCATGGCCCACTTTTAGGTGAAGGCCCATATCTTGAGATCCGCTTAACCGATTTCAACTAAATTCGGTACATTCTTTTCATATTTCTATGTTATGGTGCGAAAATGGGCGAAATCGAACTACAACCACGCCTATTTCCCATATAACACCATTTTAAATTCCATCAGATTCTTTCACTTTCCAGTGTGCAAATCAAGCAACAATGATTGTATCGGGGTAAAACTTTGCGTGAATAATGCGTTTAAAGTATGCCACCTTGTAAACAAAAATTATCTAAACTGTTCAAGCCCCTAAGTACTGAATATGTGGACTGCAGTGCCTATAATTGACTTTTTACCGAAAATATCGGTCAACATAGAATAAGGCGGCAAGATCCGTAAAGAAATCTAAAACGAGTATACCATTTGACTTTGCGAGAGTATAAAATGTTCCGTTACATCCGAACTTAGACCTTTCTTACTTGTTTTTGTTTGCTTTTGATTTGCCTTTGCTTTTTCTACACAATCCTGTTTATATTTGATAAAGTGTAAGGGGTATTTCCGGAAATATGTGCAAGTAAATACTTGAATTGTTTTGTTGTAGAGATATTTTTATGTGTTTAAACACAACGGTAAGCAGTTAGGCAATCAAGAGTTCGTTATATATTTGGATATATATTTTTTAACAAACTGTTTTATCTGTTAGCGGTATTTCGGTTTTTACCGGAAAATAAACCGAGATATTGAAACAGTTTGGTAACCGCTCTTGTTTGTTATTGCTTTTATTAAGACGGATTTATGTAATAAATAAACCGCAAAAGCATAAATTTTAAAGTACATATATTATATTAGAAAATATACAAATAATAAAATGAATTGATACGACTCACTTTGCTTTCCGCCAAAGTGTTTTGGGGACAATATTATATACCATATGTGTGTATACCATTGTGATATTCTTGTTCCGCTTGTGGCTCTCACAGTTTCTGCTTCGCTGTGCTGAATTTGGTGGGCTGGTGTGGTTTTTTTTTATGTTCTGTTGAGGTGGTAATTATGAATGCGTTTTTGTTGTTTTCTGTTGCTATCCGCGCCCGTATGAAATTTTGTGTTATTTCGCGCCCTTTTTGTTTTTGTTTTTTGATAATTGTTGTTTTTCACCTCTTGTACATATGTTTGTGTCAGTCCATTTTTTTTGTTTTTGTAAATGTATGGCACTCCACTGCACATCACTTTTAAGTCACTTTTGAATATATAAGTTATATATTATATGTACATACTTATATATTATATTTATATATATATATATATTTTTTGTTTGTGTATATGTTTTTTCAATCTTTCCATAGTGCCGCTCACTATGGCTGAAGGACCATGAATTTTTGTTTCATTTGCGCACTCACCTTTTTGCACTTTAGCACTTATTTTCAAGAAAATATAAAAAAAGAGTTTCCAATAAAATAATCCAATTATCTGGCGAAAAATTGCGGACGTCCCGATGGCTCGAATTGCTAACGAAAAAAGAAGCCTTCTAGTCCTGTGTTAGTCCCTTTTGAGTGTTGGGTTGTGTAAAGTTGTGGTGAGATTTGACGTGTATGTGTAGGTAGTCTGCGTGGTGTGATGTCTGCAGGGGTGGTGTGTGTTACATTGGGATTCTTTTGACCCTAATTTTTTTCAAATTCTCTTTTAGTGTCGCTCTGTGCATTCACACGGGCAAAAAGAGTCCAGCAACTCGAGTCTAGTTTTTCTGCATTCCTTTCACAAAATTTTCGTAAATATTTGTGCGGTTCGACTGCGCAACATTTAGAGCGTGTTGCATTTCATTTGTATGTTGAGATGTAGGTCACACATTTTGCTTGCAATGAATTACGATGAATATGGTAGAACAATATGCATAATACCTACCCGCTTAATAGTTTCAAAGAAATACTTAAGACGGGAATTCCTTAATCCACCAGAATGTATTGAATATCCGCTACTAATATTTTCAAGGCCAAATTTATATCAGGAATTTCCTAATCTTTAGGTATTAAAAATTCATAATTTCTTAACTCCATATAATCTATATCTTAATTTTCTCCTTATTTACAATTTTTCAAAATATTTCTATTATTCTATGCATACATACAAAAAATAGATAACAGAATTCAAATTTGTGAACGAATTCATTTGAAACCGAGCGCTCTTGCAACCATTTAAAGAATTTGAAATTGAAAAGGAATGCTTAAAAGGGTAGCAGCGAGCTATTACGAACAAGAACACAAAGCGTGTCATCCGAACACGAGTGGCACGGTCCCTTCGTCTTTCCTCGTCGCCCCCTCACCCACAATAAACCGGTTTGGGTTACAAAAGAGTCTGTGTCTAAAAGCGATCTTAGTGGGTGGAGTCTTCTTGTGTTGATGTTGCCAGAATGGAAATAATTATTTGATTTACCGCTTAATTTGAATGGAATTTGTCTAGACCTTGGTCTAAACTTCATATCCCTAATATAATGAATTCCGATCCTCTGGTTGAAGTTTTCATATCAACTCGACATAATAAATTTAGCCTCTTCGGTTACTTTATATCACATAAATATATCTCATTTTATGATGATTTTAATACAATTTTAGATGACGCGAAATTAAATATAACAATTCAACTAAGTGACCTTCAATATAAGTCAAGAAGGTACCAATTTTGATTGTAATTCATTCACTATTCCTTTGAATAATGGATGCTGAATTGGTTTTGATTTTTGAAGTTACAATAATATAAAATGTACAGGAACGCCCGAACTTAGCCTTCCCTTACTTGTTTTAAACTATATTTATTTATCGATTCGGTTTGCGTCCCGAGTTGAAATGGACCAGTCCGAGACAAATGGCATGTAGTAAACTTTATACCGATAAGTGAAATATAGAATAAATCATTACTATGCTACCCTGCTCTAGTCCCAATTTTCCCATATTTCAAATGATAATCAACAGACCTCTACATTTCAAAATTATTTTGATATTGGTTACATTTAATGCTAGCCTTTTTTGTTACCTATAACCTACTTATATAGTCATTCTAAATTAGTTAAATACTTAACATTCATTAAATAATTAAAAATCAAATGCCAACCGTATTTAAAAATATATATTGTAACCTAGGTCACTAATAATTTATTTATATAAAATATTGTTTATAGAGGTACTCTAACATATGTGAGAACAAATAGTAGATGGAGCGGGGCAGTAAATAGCACTGCAGTCACATGAACATTGAAGGCAACAACTCCTTTGCCTTTCACTGAAAAAAATAATAAAAAGTAAATCTATACTCTGTATACTGTAAATTTGTTTCAAAACTAACCAAAGTTCACGTTGTTCCATATGGGCACGAAGTATATCACACGGCTTGATTTCATCGCAACGGCTTGAAATCGCAATTCCGTATCCGATGCCAAAACGAGCTCTACGCCATCTGCCTGAACGAGATTTCCTTTTTATTATATTTCCATGTCTTTCATTAATGCGATCTTTACTATCTTTGGTGCGTTGTTTAAGTCCGTGCTTGACTACTTTCTTTCGGCTCCCTCCTTCCAGAAGTGTGTTTGAACTATACCCATGTTTTCCAATTTGTGTCATACGGACAGGCATTACACCATGTCCTTTACGAACTTTAGTACGTAAATCAGAAATAACGGGTAAATCAACAACGCCTTTTCTTTTAAGAGTATTGCCTTTACGATGGGTATCATAATCATTTGTAGGGCTGGAATACCGATCATCTTTATGCCCGCCATCTTTACTACCTTTCATTTGATTATCGCGATATCTGTTACCTCTCCTTCCGATGTTGTCAGGATCTTTGTTATGTAGTCGAATATACTTTCTACCTTTTTCTTGATGATTACCTTCTCTGAAACCCTTCTTGTCAGAGTGATAGTCTTTTGAACTGTTAAACCAATCAAGCTCATGATCACCTTTTTTGATTTCTTTACTTTCGTCGTGATCGCGACTATTTTTTGATGTTTTTTGAATGTCTTTGTCATACCGTTCACCTTTTTGGCGGTCATCTTTGCTTTTATTGCCATGATAATTCCGATCTCTGCTCCATTTACCTTCATCTCTAGAAACGCCGTCTCGCATTTTCTCATCATCCCGATCTTTAATACTTGTTCTATATTCATTACTGTCTCTTTGCTTATTCTTCCCTCTTTTAATACCAAGTTTATTTTCTTCATCACCATCATGTTTTTGACTCTTGCTTTCATCTAATTTTCTTATATTACGAGAACTATAATAATCACTATCTTCTTCTTCTCTTTTTTTTGTAATTTTGTTGAATTTTTTCTTGCTTATTTTATCATCTATCGATTCACCGTCTTTTCTATCACTGTCACCATTAACACCAGACTTTTTTCTTTGAGATATTTTTTTATCAGCACTTCGTTTATCGCCATCCTCAGCTTTTTTACCTTTGCCTATTTTTATAAATAAATTACCTCATCATCATCACCATTATTGGGACCTTTACCTTTTTTTCCCTTACTATCGCCGTAATAGTCGCCATCTTCTTCCTTTCCTCTACCCTTGTCTCGCCTTCTAGTACCATCACTATTATCATAATACTCTCTACCCTTCCCTTTTCGTTCTTTGCCATGTTTTTCACCTTCTTGATCTTGCCCTTTTTTTTTTCTATCGCGTTTTGTATCAAAAGTTTCAAAACTTTTTCGAAGTTTACCCTTTTCCCCATTATTTCTCACTCCAGCATCCCTTCCCCTTTTTTCTGAGATGTTGTCATCCTTTCTTTCTCTATCTTTACCATATTTCCGCCTAGTTACACCTAAGGTTGATAAACTTGAATCAGTGTGTAAAGATTTACATTTCCCATCTTCTCCTGGCACATAAAAAAAGAAATTTCATTTCATTAATTTTCCTCAATTATAAAAATATACATATATGTTATTGTAAATTATGAAATTATGCTAACCAAGGGATGACCGGTGTATTCTGATATTAACGCTGTTTCCACCATCGAAAATTGTATACTTCTCTCGGCTCTTTTGCCGATTGAAATCTCTAAACACTTTTCTGCAAATTTTTTTCAACAGGGAATAGGTGTGATCACTTACTACAGAATTTATACAACAGGGACGACAATGACAATTTTGGTATTGAACGTGGCAATTATTTTGACTTTTACTATTACATCCATCATAAAAGTAATCCTTGCAACTGCTTGTGCTGTAAATAAACTAAATTTTATTGGTTGCGCTACAATATTTTGCATTACCTGGATTGTGGAAGGTTATTGGTGGTGTTTAAATCAAAAACCATTTTACAGGATAGCACATTTTATCCGATCCGAAATTTTGTTTTAACCAGGTTATTCAAAGAATAACATTTAAAATTTTTAAAAACATTTATGACAACCTGAAAGTAATAACAGGTTCTTTCAATGAATCGTTGAGTGAATTTATATTAACAAAGTTTATTAACTTTCATTATTGTTGTTACATCTTCCAATTTTTGTATCTGGTTCTAAAGATATTCGCGAGTTCTTGGTTGTGTGGTGTGCAAATTTTCATTCACACTTGACAAGTGCAAGTCCCACATGACATGCTGTGGAAGTATAAAAATATAAATAAATTGACTACGTTTGCTTTTAAGTCTAAAAAAAGAAATTGTTACTTCCAAATATCACTCAAATAAATAGCCTATTGTATTCATGTAACCGCATAAAAGTCATCTAACAATTTTATTATGCGAATTTATAATTAATGCGAATTTTTAATGTGTGAAAAAATATATATTTCACTAATGGCGAATTGACAAATGCAACTGACTACTTTTTCTGCAAAGGACGATAAGGTTCAGTCGAAGATAATATCGGTATATGCGAGTAAGGCTATGTGTCAACCCATTGTAATTTTATACCGTACCATTGACATGTTAAATGTTCTGTATGTATTATAAAAAGACATACGAATTACCTTCGGAAACTTTCTTGCCAAATAATCAATAGTACAAAATTTTATTTTTTATGCTGCTAAAAGTTCTCTTAAATTTTAATTGGTTTTGTTGGAGCGTTCAACGTCGGCGTGCAAAAGAACCAAAGTGTAAAATCCATACTATATTTCCATCGATCGACCGAGTAACGAACTCCGATATGCTCCTGTTAGCAATTCATTAGCGAATGATTTATATTAATAGTTGTTCATATGTATATACCACGTTGAAAGAACTATCTTTCAAGAAATCGAATGAATGGCTAATTTTTGTATTGGCCTACAAAGGGTTCGATTGGCAGTTCGAAGATTCACCACTCTAACATGGTCGTCTCGTCCAAGCACGGTTGATTCAACTCGACCTAGTCTCCAGCGTTGCGGTGGCAGATTGTCGTCATTTATGATCACTAAAGCACCCTCGATGAGATCAGGTAAAGGTGTTGTCCATTTAGTACGGGCTGGCAGTTCATTAACGTAGTCTGCCGACCAGCGCCGCCAAAAACTTTGCTTGATGACAGTGTTTGTGTTGTAGCGATCAAGATGTGAGACAGTCTTCAGCTCTAGTGAACGCTCAGAAAAGTCACGCAATGAATCACCGACCAAAAAATGTCCACCTGTCAGTTCCCCAAACTCATTAGGATGTGATGACATTGAGCATAGCGGACGTGAATTAAGAATAGCTTCTACTTCTACAGCAACAGTGTTTAGATCTTCAAATGTTAACTTAGTGTTTGCCAATGTGCGATTTAAAACAACTCTTGCGCTCTATACCGCAGCTTCCCAGAGGCCGCCGAAGTAAGGTGCCCTGGGTGGAATGAAATGAAAATTAATAAAATCAGAGGAACAATATTTATAGATTTCAATCAAAAACAGCTAAGTTGGTAGCTGGTTTTCCTCGAAATCAAAGATATGTGTTTATCGGTCCACAAAAGCCGATTCCGCAACATTCAAATGGGCGTTGAGGGGTAAAGCGTGTAGCTGGTAGTGGGCCCATTAGCGAACACCATGCACGCAGGAACAAACGATGCGACGAGCAACATCTCTAAGGCGACCAATATCTTTGGGTCTGCGTGAAAATTGCGTAAATGTAGGTATTGAACGTATTTTAATACAAATTTAGAATCACTGGGTAGTAGAATCGGGGGCTTCTGAGAGTTTGGTAGGTCTGCATTATCTAGACGTCCACTAACATTCACGAGTTAAAAACTAGTTACGTTATCTAGTAATGGAGTGAGAAACTTCAAATTACTTTTAATAGCTTGGGTTTTTCGAAGAAATTTAATGTTGTTTGAAAAATGTTGTTGCTGAATATTGAAGATAACGCAACATTATGAGCGTCGTCAGACATCGTAGCTGTACCTACTACCAGTTGAGCTTCCATACTACTCTGGACTGGAATCCAGGGGTTGGCACATTGTCCATCAGTCCAGCTAATCCCCATACCCCCGAGATCCCTAATGTACGAGTACATCGCGTCCCACACAAACACCCCGACCTATTAGAAAGGTTCCTCTGGTGCAAAAATGCATTCAGGGGCCCATGTCCCGTAAACAAAAAACTTAGACTCGAACAACATTTGAAGTCTGGGTTACCCTCAACAAACCTAATGTCCCGGTTGTACACATAAATCACCCGACTGTTAGGACTATTGTCCCGTCATCTCTGATTCCCACCATATTGCGGCTCCATAAGTGGCACAAGCCACAAATAGACCACGATATATGGTGCGAATAGCATGCCGTCCAAGGCCCCAATCACTCCTCAAGAGCGTCAAGAACATATTTGTTGACATTCGCCTTAACAGCACCCTGAACGTCTATCCGACCACCCAATCATTCAATGAAGGGACAGGTACCTCTTGTGCTTGAGGTACCTGAACCTCTTCCCTAGGAAAGAACTTCTAAAAAGACCCGCAGATCCTATAGACCTGACATTACGGATCATTCCTATTCTCCCCTACAAAATTCCTCCACTCCTCTTCTTTAACTTTAACCAAAATATACTTGTATTCCCTAATTGCACAACTAAATTCATACCTTAGCTTGGATAGCCTGTCAGAATTGGACCGTCGAGCGGGTTGAAACTTTCGCCTCAATCGCCTAACAGTCCTCCTCTTCGAGGGTGCATACTGGTTCCAGTCGATACCAGAAGTACACCATCGCCGCAATGGACTCTCATACCGTGAAGGGGGGGGGGGGGGGGGGAATTTGGTAACCATAATTTGGATCAAATTATGATCACTCAATCCACACCCTTCTTTAACTTCCCATCTAGCGACGAGCGCCCTATCTACTGTCTGATTAATTAGCGTCACGTCAATGTCAATCACGCCCCTAGGCCTATCAATTGTGTACCATTCACTGGGCTCATTCACAATGTGGAGGTTTTTAGCCACCATCCATTCACTTAATGCCTCGCCTTGACTGTGGCTTTGTTATCCACACGTATGCCGGGATATCTTACTAAACCACATCGATGGTCGTCGTCGAGGCATTCGCATCCAGCCCTAGGATAAATGAGCTACTACTCGCAAGTAGTAGCCTTCTTGACCGCACCTTCAACAGACATCTGATTTGGCCCTACACTCAGGCACTCTGTGATCAAAACCCATAAACCGGAAGCAGCCAGAAACGGGGCTATCCGGTCGCTCCCGGAAGGAGAACCACTTAATGTAGCACCTACCTGCCTCAAAAAGGGCGGGCATCATTTTTTCCGCACCCTCCAGGACAACATTGGTGCTACCATCAGAGCCTACCTTCCAGGAACGACTGACCATCTTTACGTCAGACCTCTGGGACGCCGGGCTAAAGTCCTGAAGGTTCAGCCGGTGTTTTTCCATAATTTCCATGAATTCTTCATGGGAGATCTTCGTATGAACCCCATGTACAACAACCCGAGGACCCAACTTCCGGTTGACACTCACGTCCAACCCCAGCTCCCCGAATTTTGCGTTAGTCGCCACGCGTTTTAAAACTTGTTTGTCTTTGTAGTCTAGTGATCCGTTCCATTTGCTATGAGTTAATGTGCCCAACGATTCTACCGAACTGAATATAGCTGATGCTTTGTCAATCAAACTACGCCATTGTTGATAGTTTGATTTATCAGCTGGTTACAGCGATAATAGCGAGACAATCTCTTTCAAAATAATCAGAGTGGGATTATCGAAGCGTTCCCTGAGTCTGTCTATAGCCTCCGGATAGTTTTCGCTGGTTACCTGGAAGGCTCCAACGGTTCCCATATCTAAACCCTTAAAACTGGACAATAAATAATTAAATCGTTCTATTTTTGAAAGTCTAGGTTCACGAGCGATAAGTTGAGTGAAAGATGCAATAAAATGTTTGTGTTCTGCATAATTTCCGCTAAAGGTAGGCAGCGACAACCTTGGCAAGTGTGATGGCATGGAAACAGCAGTTGGAACTGTTGTCTCGGCGTAGCTAACTGTAAGGTTCCCTTCCTCCCCAAGTTGTGCTTGAATGCAAAGTTTGGCTGTGACATAGCTATTCTCTAAGTTTGCGGGACCTGTGTCTGATAGATCCGAACCTTCAAAATCCAAGCTGGATTGAGAGTGCTTGCTTGAAGTAGACTCTTTTAATCCCGATCCGATCCGTTTATACTACTACTCCTGGGTGCTCTTGAAATTGATTGCATTAAATTTATTGGAATGGTAAAGGCAATTTTGTTTACAAAAACTTTTATATGGGGAGTGGGCGGAGTTGCCACCCGATTTCAACTATTTTCACACTGTAGGTAGAGGTTCTAAAGACATTTGCTTCCAGTGAATTTTTTATTATAGCATTAGCGGCTTAGGAGATATGCACATTAAACCTATTAGGGGCGGGACCACGCCCACTTAAAAAAAAAATTTTAACTGCAGTGGTCCGATTACGCCCATTTGCAATACCAACCGCCTCACGGTACCAAGAAATATGTCTACCAAGTTTCATAAAGGTATCTCAATTTTTACTTAAGTTAGAGCTTGCACGGACGGACGGACGGACCGACGGACGGACAGACAGTCACCCGGATTTCAACTCGTCTCTTCATCCTGATTATTTATATATATATAACCCTATATCTAACTCGATTAGTTTTAGGTGATAAAAACAACCGTTAGGTGAACATAACTATTATACTCTGTAGCAACAGGTTGCGAGAGTATAACAAGGAGACAAATAAAGGAGAGAAGAGCATTTATTGTATAATACCCCAAAAGCCTTTGGTGGCAAATAAAGTGAGTCCGTTCCTTTTAATTTTTAAAATAAATTAAATTTCATGATCATACGTATGTTCGTTGAGTTAACGGTTTTGACGGCATTACGGGACACCGTAAATTACAAAAAAAAAACACCTAACTGATCTTAATAACTGAGCGGCAGTTCGGTATACATACATATATGGATGTAACATAATAACTGAAAAAATCAAAAATCAGTATCGGAATTTTGCTTAGTTTGTGTCTTCAAACATGACGTTACAAATTTCTAAAAAAAAAATTTAATATTTTACTAAGTCAAGTATTACGCACTTTTCCAGCGATTTCATTGTATTACATACTTGCAAATTCTCTAGCGGTACCCCTTGGGCTATAAAGTAACAAGCAGGATCGCATATTATACCTAAGCAAAGACGGAAGAGAGAAAATAAAAGATAAATAGCAAAAATTATATAATACTATGCATTTATGTATATACACATACTTATGCCCTTAAACACAAACCATCTTTCTCGCGCGACGTACATATTGTAACGGATTCCTCGATAAATCGTCTACCTGTAACTCACTCTTGAGTTCGATCTTTCTTATCTTTACTTTTATTTCCAAAAACTTAACACTTATTTATCGATATTCGAGTTTACAACTTATTGCTTATAGCTTAATTGATTTTTACACGACAACACTCTAATCAGAACTGTGTCTGCTGCACAATCCGGCAGCCCTTATATAGTAAATTTTTGCCTTGTCGTATTTAGCTTTCATCTTATCGCTCATAATTTTGGTGCGCTGTCTCACCATAGCATGTATATCCCTCATCTCGTCTTCTAGGATGCTATTGAATTCCTTAGTATTCCTTCCTCCGTTGGCGTTAACTCCAAATTTAAATCAATCGGTAGTCGAAGATCATTACCAAAAATTACCCTTGCTGGAGTCTGCCCCGTTGTTT